ACAGGGCGTACTGGTGCGGGTTGCACGCTGCCTGGAGGTGTGACACGAACTGTTGGGTTATGGCACGACGCAAGAAATTCCCGATGACAAGGCCGCGTGTGCCATCGTCAAGGGCATGCGAGTGCACAGTCGTCAAGGGCATCTGCGCGGCGGCGGCACCCAGGTTCCAAGGAGCTCCCGCAGCGGCGAAGCGCGAGCGGTAGTAGGAGCCGGTTGCTTCGGTGAGCGAGATGTGGGAATCACTTGGGGGTGGCCTGGAGCCAAGCCTGAGAGCGCATTAGCGCGCCCTGGGGAAGCAGAGAAAGCAGCAGCACGCGGTCGCGGAAGACGAGGTCGCGACGCACAGTGTTGCCACCCGTGCTTCCATTCACTGGGCTCTGCGGTCCAGTCAAGCCGGTCGGTCTCTTGTGCCACGAGCTCCCAGGAAGGCACGTCCATCCAGCCTTCGGTCTGTGACGCACCCAATGGGCCGCAGAGGGTGTTTGTTGTAGGCATGCTGGCCCGTGCGCGTTAGTGAGGAACTGGACCACCCAATCCGTAAAGGCCGGGCACCCCTCGCGGAGCACCATGAGGGCATCGGCCCAGGCTGCCCCTGCGACAACCCCAGCCCGCCATAGCCCCCCGGTTTCACCTGCCCATCGGGTGCGAGCTGATCTCGAGCGACCATGAGAAACAATTTGCATATATTTGCGTCCGCGCCTGCGAAGCTGCGTTGGAGCGCCGAGTCGCCAGGTCTGGTCACTCATCTCCTGCGACTCCGAGCGCGGCGCGTTCTTGCCGCCCTGCGCGGGGTTGGCTGCGCCGCTGTTAGGGCTTGTTGAGCATGGCTCCCAAGTACAAATGCCGCCACGCTGCTCGCCCTGCCGGCGCACAGCACCCACCGCTGGAGCACGACGCTGTCCCTCCCACCCCAACTTTTCTGAGCCTGTAGTGAGCAGCTTGCACAGGGACCTCGACTTCTCCGTTTGGCAGACATTCAACAGGAGCGGGAGGGGCAAGCGAATGCGGATCAAAAGCATCACTGGGAAGACGTCACTGGGAATGGTGACATCCGCATGTGTCGGCATGACGCAGATGCAGCGGCTCGCATCTGGACCTTCCTGCGACGGCAATCGAAAAAACGGTTGGGATCGCCATTGTGGCGCGCCGAAGAAAGCTGCTGATTACTGATTGCTGTGCGGCGGTGGTCAAGGCGTATGATCCACAGCCGGGCCCAAGGCTTGCACCATGGCGCACCAAGATGCCCACAACATGCTGCATGCCGGTCTGCATCAACTCAACACAAAGGCCTCCGAACTTGGTGCAGCCCGAATGGGAACGGGTGGTCCGCAAAACAAGGGGTGGTCAGACATGTTGCTACAGCCGCACCGCACACAGTTTCTTGTGGTTGTCTGCCTAGGCTCCTACGGAAAGGTAACGAAGTGGCAGCCGACTGGGCCATCAGCCGGAGCACGTCGAGTGTAGCCGGGAACCGGGAGCGGTGGCGTGGACCAGACGCCCAGCGAAAAGGTGGCGACAGCTGGCATCGAAGGATGGCGTGGGCTCAGGTCGCTCACGAGGCTGTCGGCCCGGAAGGTCGGGTTGTGCCGCAGCAGTCCGCAGCAGTGGCTTGCACGCGCTGCGGCGATGCAACTCCACACTGACGACTGTTGCCGCCTCGACTTCGTTGTCTACGGCGCGACGACCGTCCGGGGACGGGCGGGGCTGACCTGCGAAAGTGGCGCGCTACCCGGAACTCACCCGCGGAGGATCGCAACGGCACAAGGAAATCAGCCAGGGCGAGGGTCGCGAGCAGGTCGATCCTCCCACCTTATGCCCTTGGGCAACAAGAAGCTTTACAGTTTACTACAAAACGCGGATACCCGGAGGGCTTTCCGGAACGTGACAATCCCTCTCGCAATTTTTCGCCGTCCCCAATCATGCATGTGCCGCATGACTATGCAACTCGGGCGAGGTTTCAGCGAATGCGCGTGATCGCACGTCCTTGCCCCTGTTCGAGGAGCCGCTGCCCAGAGCTGATCGAAGTGGCGGCATGGTTGCGGAAGAGCGTGTGGACTAGACACCCCACGCGCCACCCCAACCGTCATCAACCGTCCGCATCCGTCCGCAGCACCTTTGAAAATGTATGCCGGCATACAGGTAGCATCCGATTTAGACCGTGCTGTCTCGACTGTTCGAACTGAGGTCTGGCCTGCATCGTGGCCACATCTGGCACAGGAATGTACAGATGACAGCGCAGTAAAAATTCAAGCTTCCGCACAGCATCTTTCTTTCGATCTTACCAACAGGCAAGGATGTAAAAAATTGAATAACGAAACAATTTCATGCGTTTTTTTTCGCAGCTTTTTCCGTCCGCACAAGGAGTCCGCAACTCCGCAGGGGCAGCAGGTGTGACCCGCCTACGCCAGCCGGCTGGGGGCCTGCTGCCCGCAGGCAATTCTCCCAACAGCACTTCTTGGTCGTCAGTCGGGTCGCTGGGACCCTCTATGGGCAGCTCCAGGAGCGAGCAGGCGTGTGCCCGGAGCGATGCGAACGAGGCAGGGGCCCGTCCTGAGCCGCATCGCACCACACCACGACGCCCGCTGGCGAGCCCGCGCCGGCGCGAGCAGTCGCAAGAACGTGCCCGCACCCAACTTCCACGCCGAAGACAACCAGTCGGCAGCGCCGGGCTTGCCGCAGTTACGGGTAAGGGTAAGTTCGATGTTTGCAGCTGATGTTTGCGGTCGACTACCTGGTCCAGGGCGAGGCCCGGTTGCTGGTCGGCCCGTGGTCGGGGCTGGCCATCCCGGCGGACTGGGCTCACGACTGTGGCATCCAGCGCGATTTGAGCTGGTTCGTTTCCTTTGATGTAATCTTTTGTTCCCAGTTTCGTTCGTGATGCGTATTTAGACTTAGTTGCTTGATGCCTTCGATATCCTTCGATATACTTTTGTGCAACCCCATCAATGCACCGACCGAACACTGTCCATGTCCAAATCGCGCCTGCCCGACATTGGTGATGAGCCCGTCCGGGCAGAGCCGCACCCGGCAAGGCTCCGGGATGTTTCTGGTGGCGGCCGGGGCTGCGGCTGAGCTCGGGGAAGGACCCAGGCCCGAGCTGCTGGAGCCTTGTTGTCTGGCTTCGCAGAACGGGTGCACTCGGACCCTCGTCGCAGACATGCTTGCGAATACAAGGTGCGCCAACAAAAAAATAACAGTTACCGCGAGGATTTCGAGGGCCTCTACCCAGAATCCTCCCCACCAAAAACGATAACAGTCACGAGGATTCGCCGTTTCGGCCCTCCCGCGACCGAGACGATTTTGGGAAGGATTCTGGGGACGATTTCCGCGAGGACTTGAGGATGATTCTAGGATTCTAGGGAGCATTTCTGCTTTACTGAGGATTCGGGGCGCGATTCTAGGCAGGATTCTGCTTTAGACAGGATTGGGGGGACGATGTTGGGCAGGATTCTGGCCACGAATCCTTAAGATAATCATCAGGATAATCTCGCCCGGAATGGTACATAACACAAAATGCTACCACCATACCTGTAGCACAAGAATTCTTAAAACAGAAACTGCTTCCAGCCGTCGCATTGGTCGTCGGTCGTGCTTTTGCAACTGCTGGCCGCGTTCAAACAGTGAGCGCAACGGAGCACAAAGATTGCGCTAGCCAGAAACGCAATGTTGTGGCATGTGGGGGTCGCTCCAAGCTTGTAACAAAGTCGATGTGAACCTTTGTCATTTGTTCCGTTAGCAGCTCGGCCACGGTTCAGGAAAGTCGCGACGCCTTAGGTCCTATCCAACGGTTTCATGCACGAGCATTCCAATCGCCTGATCTGTAAGATTCCAAGCTGTCAACGGTGCGCTCCATAGCGCTCGCGGTACGCGCTGGGCACGTCAGCAAGTGCACTAGCACGTCGCCAGACTCGTTTGAAGTGGCTCCGGAGTTCGCCGTCGCGTAAGGGCGGCTCGTCAGCGATCCCTTCCTCCAAAGTTCGTTATGCGCTACAGTTCTTCCCCCTCGTCCTGCCGAAGCTGCAGGGAAACTACTGGCGACACTCGTAAACATCGCAATAAGCTGACTAAAGCATACGTCCTGAACCTATTTTGGGAAATTCGACAGCCTTCACCAAAGCAAATTGTATGCCCCTGAGCTGCGGCAGCGTCCAGGTCATGCGCGAGTGCATGGTGACAGAAGTCGTCGACCGATTGGGAGGCGGGATGTTGCCAACTCAAGCTGGCACTTTGAATCCAAACGCGCAAACCCATTTGGAACGATACTTGCTCTGGTGCTAAGCTGCTAGGGGAAACACAAAGCCAAACGCATGCCCAGCATCGCCAACCGAGCTACGCGAGCACCACAAGCAGACGCAAGGAGAAAGGAGCTACGATGGAAGTGCGACGGCTGCATCGTGACGCACTTGCGCGCAGCATATACTGCGACGCGGCGCAGCAAGCGGTGAACACCACAGAACTCGGCCGTGTTGGAGTGCGGGTAGATCCAGAAGCCAAGCTTCTGCTCGGAGCTCGAGGTGCGGCGGAGCAGAGCACTTCGAGCTGGTCCGCACGGTAGAGCCACGAGCCGGGCAGTGGGACATCGTGTGGCTTACAACAAGCTGAACTCCGGCTTGACTTGAGCCGTGCACTTGAAACCAGTCGCCACTGGTCGGCAGCCGCTCAGTTTTGCCGAGCGTTCACGGACTTGTCGGTAGACTGTGGATGGCGATTGAATGGGGAACTACATGGAGCAGAAGCCTGCTTGTGTCCAGTCGGCCGGTGGGGCCACGACGGCTCGAGTCGGCGTGGCAACTGCAGCAGCGACCATGAGCTTCTGACTTCTTCTGATACGAGATCGGGCCGGGTTAGATGTTTTAGCTGGCATCTGAACCCTGACAATTAAAATTGTGGGTTCTCGGTCGCCGGTCTGGGTAGTTGAGAAGCATCTCTAAATGGCTACTGGTAGCGGCGAGCCAGCTCTTCCTCATGTGCATGAGTACGACATCATAAGCTCGACGGTCCTCTGCAGCAGCACGCCGAAGCTTTGTCTCCAGGTCGATCCTTCCACTTTGATTGCTGCCGGTTCTTTCTTGCAGAATGTCCCACAGGGCGCGACCCTTGAGCAGTCTCGCGGGATGCCTCAGCTGTGGAGGAGCACACTAGTCGCCTTTACCGAAAAGAACTCAGCAAGGGCCCCCCCAAAGCCACCCGCTATGTCGGACAATGTCCGCGCAAGTACCTAGCAATGGCGTCTTACTGGACCGACGGCTGCGTCAGAGAAGCCCGAGGCCCGAGGCTCGTGCAAGCCGAGCCGGCATAGCAGGAGAGCGCCAGCGCAGCGTTCGCTTCCAGCATGACTCTGCATTGTCACCAACGCATGTTTACGATGTATCTGTGAGGTATCTGTGAGGCAATACAGAACAAGTGCAGGGTCAACGACTTAAAGACAGCCTGTGCACACAGTATATAGTACTGCTTTGAATATCTATTCAACTTTATGAAGTGCAGCATCATCTGCTGCTGAGCAACTGCAACCCTGGACGCAGGCAGCGCGCACAGAAAGCTGCAGGTGCATATCAGAAAGATATCACTAGGTAACCGGGGCTGTCTTGTAGGGCACATGCACGCGAACGTGGAGGTGCCAAGAATCAGTATACTGATAAGCGCAACAACAAGCCAGGGAGAGCAAGAATGAGATGTGACGGACCTGGCCATCAAGCGACGTTTCTTTCAAAGGGAGCAACAGGCGAACTCCAAAAGTCAACTGACTGCAACCAACGGAGAGGTACAATCCTAGAATATGCAGAGCATTCCAGAAACTGCCAAGAATACATGCGAAAGTTGAAGATTATTCTTCTTATCAATCAATCCTACAAGAAATGTAAGCACGAATTCATGGGATCAACTACACAGACGGCCAACATGAGAACACTCATTGGCGAAGCAGACAATGTTCCTATTCTGATGGTACGATCATTCGAACAATTGTCAACCAAAACAGAATGGAACCGCGGAACGACAATCTAGAGACATTTCAATGTTGAAATAACTATAGTCTATAGTATACACTATAGTAGCCGCAAAGGCTAAACACAAATTAACTTAAATACGAAGTGCTACAACAATCCGCTTCAAGCCAAAGCCTAAGGGCAAGACATTGTCGAAATCTCTGATTGTCACTGCCTTGCACCGTATCCATTCAAGAAACTCGATAGCTGACTTCTTCGATTCATGTAAGACGATGGTACAAACAAGCTGTAAGAAGCACCTGCCAACGACTTGTAGGCGATACCATAGAGACAAATTCATTTATATCGTATGATACTGCTGCTCCAGGCCTGTGTGCTGTAAACAGTAAAAACTTGTACCGGTTGACGGTGATGCTTATAAGCTTGAGGCAATGACTAGCCAGAGGTACATGCTTTCTGAACCTTCTTATCACTCCCACAAACAAGAGTCGCGCCTACAACATAAACGAACGTGTATCTACGGGGCTCTGTGTCTGGGTCTGTGGCATGTCGTGTCCGTGAGTCGACGAGACTGGCCCCTGCAAAAACATGTCTTATCATGAACTACCAAAAACGCATGATCCAGGTAGGTTCCGTTGAAGGCCTTCGTTCTCCACTTCCCTTGCACGGTCAAGTCCTTTGACGTCCTGTTGCATGGTAGCATAACTCGAAGCAAGCTTCCATGCCACTATGGAAACAACTGCTCCGAATACAGCAGCATGCATTGAGCATCAAACGATGGAAAGCCACTCCCTGATACTGCAAGCTTGGAAATGCGATGGTGTGCTGCTGTTGAATTTGAGGAGGTGAAACGAGCAGTCTGTTGAGAGTGCTGCCTCCCTCACGCAGGTCTGTGCGGAGTGATGTGCAGAGCCATTTTTAGCTGAACAAAGCTGTTGCTTGCCCATGGCAAAACAGAAATCCCTTCAGGATGCATCAGCCTGACATCACAGGCTCCAGGTGGGACACTGCCTATCGGGTGCCCGAAACAAACAGTCCACGCCTCAAATTCGCTTCTTTGGAGCTGATTGCACCGAGCAACAGGACAGCCAACCCTCAGGTCAATTGAGAGGAGGCTGTCATGGCAGTGTATAACCGTCTCTCTCACGTAACATGCGTGCAGTCGCCTGGGAGGCGTCTTCATTCGAAGAACGCTTGGATGGCGAAGTCTTCTCTCGACACTCCTGCACCAGATTTCACACGTTCCGTACTACAGCGAACTGCAGCGAGAACACGCTCAGCCCGGAGATACGAGTTTTGCTGCTCCTCACCCCCACACGTAACCCCAGACCTCGAAATGTGTGGTTTAAGCAAGTTGATGACATGTGCAGTCTGCACTTGCCCGGAAATACTGCAAGTATCTCCAGAAGTCCTCGTGTCGACGTTCAGATTTACTATGACTTACTGTCATGAGACAAGATACGAAGCGCTTCTAAGAACGTCCAAGATTGCTGTTCTACTCGTCTCGAAAGCGAGGGCTTTGAGACTCATGCTACAACTGCGGCCACAACTGCTTCACCATGCGATTAAATGATTAAGCCAGTTCCAACGTACATGATCATGAACGAACTACTGGCTGCAGAAGCTCCTCGAAGCTTGCCCGCACTGCGATTTCGTGTCTTCGCACTGCATCCTCCACGTGGACACTCCAGAACAAATCGAAAGCGTGCTGCAGGCATTACTGTTCGGAGTGTCCTGAGAGGAAGGAGCCGAGGTCTTCGCAGACCCCTGCACTGCTCACGCTCTCGTGACGTAACTTTATATAAAGTTCTCTGAGGCACGGGATACGGCACGAAAACACAATTGCCAAGAAGACTTTGCAGACGGCCGGACTTTAGAGCGCACCTCTCCCTTCCGCTGCTTGGATTTTTGCGCCTGTTCTCAGAATGGCCAGTGGCAAGCTTGCGTGGATCCATTCTACGACCTGCTTGAGCTCCTTCTCCAAAGCCTGCACATCAGCAGTTCCCATGTCGCTAAGCGGTGCCTGTGCACGCTTCCCAAAGTGTGCCTCTATCTTTGAGCGGCTATGCTGCAACTCATCCTGATGGCGCTTCATCTCCACCTGTGACATCACTGCAGCCAGGCCTAGCAACGACGCGCAAAATCCACTAGGAAGCCTCGAAGATGTGGCACTGCAGACTCGACATTTCGTGCTCTCGTTTCGCCCTCTCCTGGCACAAGCGACGACTCTATTGAGGAACTTCGTTTCGGACAATTTCGCATTAGCTGACGAATCACGACTACAGATGTGTACAAGTGCCTAGGATTGCCTAGGTGTGACCCGGGGGCGCCTCAAGTTCCGCAGCACGCCTGTGCATCAGCGCCTGTGCAGTGCGGAGCATTCTTGACCTTCACATGTCTTCACCTTCTGCGTCCGTGTACGAATTCCTTGGCAGAGCCATGCGACAGGGAATGAAGGAAAACTTCATCCATCCGAAACTGAAGCTTCTTGCTCAACAGCTTTTTGCGCAGAAGCGGAGGTCGATCTTTGGACACTGACGCTTGGAAAAAGAAGTTGAAGGCTCATGCAAGAGCATGCTATGTCGCTCCATGAGAATAGCTAGGAATACAACTTGAACCAGTCTCGGCTCAGTCTCGGCTCACTCCTGCACCAGGTCGCATGGCCTGCTCGTGCCACGCGGCTGCTGGCAGACATCGTACGCACTACAAGTAAACTGTAGCCAGTCTCCAAGACAAATGGTGGCTGACTCGCCTTCTGCGACTGCGTAGAGCAGCCACGGCCGAAAGACAAAGCAGCATGCAAGCGCCTGGCCAATGTAGTTTGGCAGAATATACTGGATCTGCGTCTGTGCCAATCGCGGTTTGTTGGCGTAGTCTACAGTCTACAGATTAAGCAACCGGGCTTGACAACAAACAGAACTGCTGACATGAATTCACATGCCGCCAAATATCAGCCTGATATGTGCCACGAACCCGACGCCTTATCCTGAAGAAGGCAAAAAGGCAATACATGCACAACCCATTGCAACCCTGTACAAGCAGCGAACGACTTCATGTCGTTTTCCCCACAGGAAACCACACCCGCCCGATTCACCAGGGGTGGGCCCTCATTGCTGTCCTGAAATCCGGCTCGTCGCTCGTGCTTGCGCCCAGAAGGCTTCTGATATGAGTTTGAAAGGGGGTTAGAATTAAGAAAAGCGCCATACCCTGCCCCAGCCACCTAAGTCCCTGTTCAGGATCCTTCCTGCTGCACCTTCGGAAGAAGCCAACTGCGAGTGCATCTAACTACATGCAGCAGAGAAGCAGAAAGTTGTAGCCGCTGTGGATTCCACGGAGCCGGGAAATCTTCGCAGGACTCCGCCGTTGTAACAAGACACATGCAATCTGGTTCGACTTGGCATGCGCAAGGCTTGGCGGCTTGGCCTCCGCATGCTGTCCGCGACCTTCTGCTCCAACTGCAAGTTCTCGCGTCCAACATACTGGCCTTTCTCAGCACATCTCTGAACCGGAGATCAAGGTTCCAGAGCTCTCTTACTCTTGCTGCACCACAAGTTTCTGGTCAAGTTGCTCAGGATGTACCCGAAGACCTGGCAATCTTAAACGCCTCTGTTGCTGTGACACCATGCGTCACCTTGGTCCCAAACCCGATCGAGGTCGAATGCTGCATCCAACAACTCAATGGACACAGGTCCAGCTGGATCAACCTTCAAAGCAGCGGTGAGCATGCATGGATACCTTTCGGTGTGTATCATGGCAAATACTGCAACGCAACGTAGCTATGCAAGCAAGCATGGCCTGGGCGTGTGGCTGCGCGCCACCACTTACCACTTCAGCTTTCCAGCAACCTTCACATATAGCTGAGTTATGGAACACTCAATAGTCAGTGATCCACTGGACCAGCTCTTTGTCACCTGGACAGTCTCGATATGCTGGCCACCGGCGGTCGACAACGGCCTGATGAGCTGAAGTGAGCCAAGGAGTTCCACATAGCTTGTTGGGATGGGATGAACTGCTTGTTTAGATCATCGGAGACCGAGCTTACAAGTTCCAGAAGTCGAGGATTGAAGAGCTTCAAAAACTGGTCTTCTCAAAACGAGACAGCCTCGGCGCAAGTTGTGAATCGCAATCATCCTGCCTGACCCTCAGCGGGAAGATGCTCTTTCAGGACCCGCAGGGAAACTGCATTGTGGGTGCGCCAAAGCCACCACACCATCTGTCTTGCCTTCAAGGGCTTCGGTGTGGACACACTTGTTCGCAGGACATTAGACAGAGCATCGCGACATGGGTGAAGTTGAGTTTTCGGTTCGACTCACTGCTGCTTTGCGGACACTTTGTCAGAGGACAGGTTTCTCTGTGAAGGCCCCCCCACATCCACTGCCCCACCTTTCCGCTTTGCTCAAAGGAGGAACTGCCTTTTCTAGGATAAAAACCTGGTGATCGCTTCGAAAGGCTACGTCTTGAGTCCTGGAGCCGCCTGATCCTCTGATCTCGGATCCTGCCTCCGCATAGCTGTTCCTCCTGGATCCGCCTGGATCTTCATTGCTATCATATTTCGGGTTCCTTGCCATTTTACGGCTCATCCGATAATTTACAATCGTATGCTGACATAGTCTTTATGGTTGCAGTCTCCTTTCGCCTTTACGACTACTCTTGACTGGCTCTGCCTCGCAAGCCCATGCTGCTTCGCAGCGGTCGGTTGCTCCCTCCCAAATGAAGTGGGTCAGGTCGATGATCGTTGGATATACATACATACACACAGATTCATCTACATGTATGTATAAGTATACATATACTATAGAAACACACAAACATATACAAACACATATACATGTACATATACACATGTACATATGCATATACATATATACAGATACATACATACATACATACATACATACATACATACATACAGACAGACAGACAGACAGACAGACAGACAGACAGACACACATACATATGTACATACATACATACATACATACATACATACATACACTATATACACACACATGCCTTTACATATGTCTTTTTCGATCTGTCTGTCTGTCTGTCTATCTATCTAGCTAGCTAGAGATCTAGCTGTATACTCGGATGTCGGATGCAGCAAAGGCTTCTAAGAGCATTTGTCACTAGCGTCGCATGGCAGCTTGCCACAGTCAAGCTTCCATCTAGGGCCGTGCCGGACCAGAAAGCAAGGCTGAAGATTATGCATGTGATCGCCATGTACTCTACTTACGAGTATCCTGCAGACACACACCCGATCGTCATGAAGGATCTCTGGGCCTGCAGCCGCGCATCTGCGGCTTCGAGAACCAAGCAGCTCCCGTAGGAACATCCTTGATTTCAGGTCGACCAGATTTCCATAAAAACCGCTGCATGGCAAGGCTGGCAAGGCACCTCAAAAAGCAGAGCGAAGCCAAAGCCAAGACTCTGTCGAAGGCTTCCAGGAAGTGCTGCCTGGCAACGGCACAGAATGCTAGGGCCTCAGAAACCCTGGCTTTGTTCACCTGCAGCCCTGGCAAGTGAAGAACTCGCTGATGGCCAGGCGGAAGAAGCTCATCGCCTGGCCGTTTCACGACTTGGCCGGGCCGGAAAGCACCGTGGGGCGATGGCCTCGGGGACTGTTACTGTCCAAGAGCCATGTTGAGCCAGCGGCTGCCCAGTCACAGCCACCTTAAAGCGAAGTAGTGAGTAAGGAGTGAGGGCTTTCACGAGTCACGATTCGCTGACTTGGCACCCGACAGCTGCAACTGAAGCAGCGACGACATGCAGTAGCTGCCAAACCTAAGGCAGAGCAAAGACAGGCAGAGCTCGTTGCAGCTGAGATGCGTGACGAATGCGATAAGCTGAACAACTGCTTTCACAGGCTGGCGGCAGCACATGTCTCATCTTCGCAGAAGACATGTTCTCTCTGCCCGAAGAGGCTCTCCCACTGCCACGTCAGGGAACTGGAGTCACAGCATGAGGCCAGCTTCTGCTTGAGGCCTGTCTCGGCCCTTTGAGCTCCCGTGCCAGGCCTTCTTCAGCATGAGGCGCATCTCCCACGGCTGGACCGGGCCACGATCCTGTATCTGCACTGCCTGAGCCGCTGCATCGTCATGGGTCAGGGATTGAAAATTTGAAGCACGGCAAAAACATTGCAAAATCGGACGGAGGACGTGATGCAAGGAACTGCGCAGGCATCGCTGCAAACTGCCACCCTCTAACTCTGCCCAGTCACTAGGCTGTGGAAGTCAGCTGTGTGGCGTGGGAAGACACGGGAGACGAAGCTAGTGATGCTAACCGCTGCAGGATGCTGCTGTGCGCCGGAGTAGCCTCGACAAGGCCACAGATGCCGTCAGAAAGCCAGAGGCCTGATCGAGCAAGAGGCCCTTGAGGAGCACCAGCAGCCCCAGTCGAGCTTCGACAAAGCGCTCGTCGTCGAGGTGATAGTCCATGGCCCAGCCTCCCCCCCAAGCAAAGCTACTCTGAGAGCTTCGGTCCGTTGCGCGAGCGACGGAGCCTGTCTTACCAGGAGGCCCATCCACTGCCACGGCATGGCCCGCACGGAAGGCCGCACCTCAGGCGCAGGCTCGGGGCCACCGCAGGACCAGAACAAACCAACTGGAATCTCATGAAAAGCTCTCCCGGCCTAACTTCAGGCTTTGAGGATGAGGTGGGATCCACAAGCCGGATCGCTCGGAGAGCCACTGCACCAACTCCTCTGAAGATTTCTGGTGGTTATCCGTGAAGTGCGGCACGTCATACAGCAAGTCCAGCGTTCCTTTGCCAACCTTAGTTTAGACTATTAGAAGGTGCTGTCGGCGAATGCCAAGTACTGCCCAAGAAGCTTTGTAGGCCCGCAGCGTGGGATAGCGAAAGATTTGCATTGCATCACAGGCATCCTCATTCTCAACACAGTTGCAGGCAGCGACGCGGATGGTATCTGAGCCTTTGTACGCTTCTGCAACCTGCTGGAAAACGGGGGCGAAGTACCAGCAGTGCGGACACCCAGACGAGTAGTACTCCACCAACAAGGTTGTAAAGCCTCGTTCCACAATGCTCCCATGTAGTTGGCAGCTGGCTCCGCTGAGAATCGTGACAGGGCCGCCACTCGGATACAATGATTTTTGAGATCCGCTCTCGTACAAGTGAGGCCGCGGACTCCAAATTACATCACCCGATGGCTGTGATCCGCTTTGGCCGAAATACCAAGCCAGTGCGTGGCAGAAGCCCACAAAGCGAGCAGACATCCTTCCCAAAGGACTATCGAGATATTTAGCGTCCTCTAAGCTGTTGCTGTTACATCGTGACTCTTTCGCGACTTGAGGATGATGAGCAAAGATGCACACCCGTATACAGGCATTGTGACAGTATACGACGGTTAGGATCAATGCTTCAGGCAGGAGCACATGTTGAATGTGAATTCGAACTGAGTCCACACGTCTGCAGATCAGAAATGAAGTGGCCATGCAAGACAGGCTCCAGGGTTGTAGAACCTGGGAATCCCGAGACATACCTTGTTAGCCAGCGGAACCCCTAATCATCCTTCCGATGTGAATGCCAATAGAACCATGTGATGTCAAGCAAGGCTCATGGTGGCTTCTGCTGTTTGCCGAACTTGTTGTGAACGTTCCCCCAACTAACAATTCCGTGCCTCCCGCTGCTCCACTTCCTGAACCTTCGACTGCAGCATCGCCTAGCGTCCCAAAGCTGCCGTGTTCGACCAGAAAGACAGTCACTAAAAGCGCTGGCCCCGCTTGGGTCATGCTGGCCCTGGTATTATCATACTTGTGCTGGACATGCCGTTGTCCGTAGCTGGAAGGGAACCCGGCGATGGGTGCTGGGCATACGTTGGCAAGACGGGTCTCACAAACTCTTGATTCATCAACTCGCGGGACGCTAAGCGGTCTGTGATTCGGGGTTGCTGCACATGTCAGCACCCTGCTGGCCGTGGTACTTTCCCAATGAGCTTGTCCCTTGCCCATGCTGCATCTTGTGCCTGCTGCAGCCGCAGATCACTCTCTCCCACTGACGCCTTCTGGATACGCTGAAGCTCTGACCTGTCAGAAACAGACCCCTTGCATCGCGAAAACCCTGCAGACAACTCCAATGACGACTTGGCCTCGCATTTGCAAGCTCTGCTCGCAGCCGCTCTGCCTCACGCCACAGATCACCAGGTCCACTAGATCTGACGATTCCTCTCACGGTTGCCCCACCTCTCTGAACGGATCCCAGGACTTGGGGACAGCCTGACCCGGTTGCCAAATGAAGGATTCTCCGGTTCCAAAACCAAGAGAAACATGTCATGCCTCGCCATCTTCGCAGGTGCCTCGGAGGAGCTCGTCACAACGCAATGCTCAAATCGCGAAGGCTACCGGCTATCGCAAAGAAAAGCTCCCTGCCCTGGATTTCTCGCATTGCCTCGGTGCATCCACACACGCCCTAGTCTTCAATCTTAGATCGGCTGAGCAGCCCTGACTGAGACACAGACCAGTTTTGGCAATCCTATCTGGCCGCCGTTCTTCTCAGCTATCCTCGTCTGGATTGCGCAAAGGCCCCGGCACAGCTGAAGCCGCAAGCGGGATAAGATCTGAACGAGCGCAAGGTGAGAATCACCTTGGTCGCAGAGTCCTGGCATCCCATCCGGGAAGGATGTTTGGGCCAGGGTTTCAGCAAGGCAGTCAAGGATGCAGGGGCCAAGGTCCTTGGGCCCTGAAACGTCTAAGGCCGCCTCCTCGGAGCGCTGTGGACCTCACAGCAACGCCCACTTGAGCGGAAGTTGAAGACATTGACGGGGCCCTGAACCCTAAACCCTCAATGGCCTCGCCTGTGGAGTCCACTCCAAAAGTCTCATCTGCCTTTGCCAAAAGCCACATGCGCGCGGGTTCTTTTCGCATCGGGCTGTTGCCTGTCTGAAGGTTTCGCTGAAGGCCTGGGAACCTCAAAGCCTCTCTGCAGCAGGACTGACAGTGAGGCCTCTGGCCGTTTAGAATTGCAAGCTTGTGGGTTCTGATGTGCAGAGGGAGTTCGACACGGAGTGTGCCTGAGCAGAGCAAGTCCGACAATTGGCGACAGGGAGGCGGCTTGGCCAATTGTCCGAACAAATTACAACGTGTAATTCAGGGACACGTGCGAGTGCTGTTGGTCAATAAAGTTCAGCGAAGCACATGCGCAAGTTCGTGCAAGATCTCAACTTCTTGTGTGTTCGATCGGCCTGTGTCGCTGCTCCCGGGCTGGAGTTATAGCCTTGATTGCCACCCGAGGCTGAACATGCATATTATCACGTTTCTGCAGTCTAAGATTCCGGCATGTCGAAGATTCGCTGTCACCCTGGCCTCCTTGGGCTTCCGTCTCCTGCACTGGGGCGCAACTGTTCTCCCATGGACAGAGAAGTTCCAGACGTTGCAAGCCCTGCTGTCCGCACTGGGTCGCACCTGCACTCTCACTACTCAGAAGCCCGACCCGGCTGCTCATGAAATCCTGTCGTTGGCTCCGTTTGCACGGGCCCAGATGTGGTTGGCGACTTCTGCTGTGTCGAGAGGACTTGCCCTCTCTGCCAGAGAAAATCCTGTCGCGTTTAAAGCCGAGATGAAACAACCGAAAAAATTGCAAGGCGGGAAAATGTGCGAAGGAATCGATCTCAGATTAATCGAACGCTCGCACGTTGATCCCGCAAAGCACAAAAAGCGATTCAACTCACCCCCTGCGTTTCTTGCGGCTTCCATGCATGCGATGCTCTGTGACGCAAGATGTCCCGGATTACAGCGTGTCAGACAACACGTGCCGCACACAATCGACACAGCACGAGTTGGAAATTGGATTGAAGCAGCGGCTGTCACCGCCTACGCTGCAAAAAATGACACTGCCACAAAGGCCTCGAACTGAACGGTAACTACTCCCGTGTGTGGCCTCACTCTTTCACCTATAGCTTCTTCACTCGTGCCACGATGAGGCCAAATTGAGTCTGAACTTAGATCTGCTGCATCCCCTGGCTTGGTGTCCTTCTTCGGGGTCTCCATGCCGCAGACCTGGCCTGGCGGTGCCTGGCGGTGGCGGTCAGGGACTCGAAACAAGCCGTCGTTAGGGAACGGGATTGGCGCACCAGCGGCCAGGCGATTGCAGCGCCAGAGCTACCCACGACCGGATCAAGTCGGACCAAATGCAGAAGGGGAAACCGATTGGCAGAGCTGGATGAGTTCGCACATGCAGTCCGAAGCGTACCGAAGCCATTGCAAGCATTTTTCGCGGACCACTTCGGCATGCTGTTACAGCTCCCCGCTCCATGCCCTCAGAGTCAGCGTGCTGCAGTACTTCAACGTCCTCACCTTGCAAAATGCCAACAGTCACAGGAATGCAGAAGCAACTCTCCTACAGTCTGTCCGCCCGACCTGATTCACCCCTGCAGGTGCATGCCAAGCCAGGCCCGTGCATTAAGGCCTGCATCACGGCGGGCACAAGATGCTTGATGACAAAGCATGTGCCGCATGCTTGCATCATGCACGTCGTCCGTTGCAGCAACCGAGGAAACCCGATGGCAAACCCAAACATGTTCGAAGCACATGCCTGGGATTTGCCATCGACGAGGAAGAGACATGAATGCCGGCCTGCCACTCAACTGAGCATGCTGGGCAGGCAATACTGCGACTTCAGGCGCACGGGGGACATGGAAGCGATGAGAGTATCCCGTGTCCAAGCCTCATCAATGATCAAGTCCGCAGAGAGAGCGTTGTCGACCTGCTCAATGCTGGGTACATCAACAGAGGTCAGGCTGCCTTGCATCTACGCCGCTACAGAGTACATGTCGGATGTGTGGCACACTATGGAAACGGTTGGTACGATACAGTGGGTACTTCTTTGCTCCCGCAGTGCCTGCAGAGCTGCCCTGAACAGACAGACCAATCAATGCGAGCGGATGACTGCAAGAATCGCATGTTATGCCGAAGGTTCGGATCGTGCGACAGCCTGGGGGCTAAATCCCTGCTACACATCTTCTGTATCTGACCAGGCTGCATTAACAGGACGGAACCCTGTTCGGTGCACAGTGTTTCCAATCCATGCCGTCACTCTCCAACCGCACGCTTGAACAGCTCCACTAAAGCTCCACCTCCTCTCCCGCATCAGTGGTTTGACCTGGGACGCTTGCCAATGAACTCGCTCGCAGGCGCAAGCACTTGTCTCTGGCTCTTTGTGAACATAGCATCCGAATTCCCCATGCACTGGATCAGCGGGCTCTCAGCAAGGAGCAGAGTTGCTGGCGGCAGCTCTTCCCTTAGTCTGCCGTCCGCAGAAGGTATGAAACGCAGTTTACCAAAAGTGCACGACACACAGATTGAACAGCACACAAGCCAGCTTCTCCCAAAAGTCTGGTACAGTGCCTTTTAAGTCGCCAAAGCACGCAGGTAGAGGCGCAGCGCATTCCCCACCAATGGGCGGCTCAGCTCCTGCGCAGATCGCAGATCTGTAGACATCTGCAGACAGCAGCTTCCCTCCTTTAAGCTCACTCAGCTACACCTTCGCCGAGGCTAACGGAAGAAGCTTGGGAGCAGCATTTCGCAACAAGGCTTCACTTCCTGTCACATTCTGCCATCTCCACTCACAGAAGAAAGTACGATTTGCGATTCGAAGCAGTCGCTCCAGGCGGACAGAGGCGGCATGAGACCTGAGGACAATCCGAAGCACAGCAATCCAGCACTTTCGACCGGTGGTCAGTTCAGCCGGGTCACCACTGTTGCCCCAATGCGAGCTGGGAAGTGCCCATTGACCCAGCTGTGTGGGACAGAAGAACGACACAGCAGCCTGTCAGCATGCAGCCTGAACTGAACAACCGCCTGTAGCATGCTTTCACCATGCGAGCCTGTCATTGCAAGCTGGCGTAGCATCCGCCAGCTCCAAGTCAAGCGCCACCTGCAGACACTGGGCTTCCTCTGTAGACTCCACGACTTAATTATGTTATACAAGGGTTCGGGGCCCCTCTGGGTTGCCTCGGACAAGGGTCTAGAGCAGCCTGAAGGCAGGCCACTGGGGCAGGACTGGGCTGAGGCGAGTTGGCCCATTGCGAAGCTGGGGGGCGTCGAGGCACTGTCCGGTACCTGCAGGCCCTCAAGGCCGTTGGTGAACGCGGCTGCTGCCATTGGCTGCTCGGAAATTGAAATTCAGGCGAGCAAACCCCAATCTCTGAAAGCAGGCCTTGGTGAGCAAACCCCAAACCTTAAACCCCTGATGTTGGCTAGCAAATCCCAAACCCTGAACAGGAGATGTTGGTCAGCAAACTCCAAACCCCAAAAATGAGATTCTGGTTGGCAATACCCAACCCTAGAAGGACACGGCGGTGGGCAAACCCAAATGCTGGCGAGAAAACTCAACAAGGAGATTGGTAAGCAAACCCGAAATCCTAGAAGGGGATAGTGGTGAGAAAACCCCGAATGATTAGCTGGGCTCATTCCCGAGTCGGCCGCACTGTCGCCCGAATCTCCACGTCTGAATTGGGGCGCCTGGTTCCTGAATCCTTTGCCTGAATTCCGGGTTTGCCTGGATTCCGGGCTTCCTTTCTGAATGGGCCTACGTGAACTAATGGTCAGGTTGAAGATCATGTTCAACCCAGGCTGAATCCACGTGCCGGCGTGGGGCTGTCTTTACTGCATATGCAACCGCTGAAGGGCTTGCCCACTGCTTTGAAACCCCTACAACGTGCCACGAATAGGGTTTCCAGAGCCCAAAACTCAGCCAAAATGCCGAGGTCCGAAACTCTTGGGTCGTTTGTGAAAATCCAACATAATCAAAGATGACTGAAATTTGCGATGTTGTGCTCTCGGAAATCCGAGAAAAATAAGCCAACATGTCCCATACAGCAGTAGAAATTTGTGTATGGTTTTTGGCTAGCGGCTCTGCTCGGCTGGATAAAACCCTTCCTGCAAGCAGAGGAGGAACCGCACGTATGCTTTTTCTGGGCGTCAAGAGAAACGCCTGAAAGTCTGGCCAGAAAAATGAAAATAAAGTATGAGGGGCCGGGCTCAGACCCATTGCAAATACAGGAGACACATGGAGACACCGTCTCGAAACGCTCTCTCAATTTCTGACCACAAACCAGGCAGATAAAAAGTGAGTGGGAACTACTCAACTACTGTAGTAAACGTGAGTAAGTTCTAAACCAGGCACTTGCAACCCAAGTCGAACCCACGTGTCCGCGCGGGAGTTGACCGTTTTCACTCCACCAGCTCACCCAGTGTTCTTTCAGCCTGGCAAAGCGCTGTGAAGAACCTCTGCCGACAAAAGGAGGTGCTGATACATGAATCGAACAGGTGGGGGGCCGCGCTACCCCCCCCAACCGCCGAATAGCGCAATGGGACAGCCCAAGCACAGTCCAAGGACCAGAGAACTGTGCCGCGGATGGGATCCCCCAAACCCGAAAATCAGCCAGAAGGACTATGCTTTGCCCAAACCCCCCCCTCCTCGAGCCGAACGGCAAAGTTAGTTGCAAGGATGCCATTGAAGAGTTCAGCTAACCCCAAAACTCAGCCCAAATACCTATATCATATTATGGCTACTTCATGACTACTTGGGCGAAACCCGACAGGGCTTACAGATCCACAAGATTGGCCATCCGGCGGCTGCCCGGGCGCAAAAAAAGGAGCCGAAATACCTATCTTGTCCACTTGTTGGTGCTGTCGGATCAAAAATTCCCGAAACCAGAAAAGATGCGCAATAATGCCCGTGGCTTCGTTCATTGCAAGTGCCTGGAGAATGCCCAAGATGAGCGAAGATCACTGAAAGTTGCTCTTCGGCGCACACAAGCTTCTAGGGTGGTTCCCGAGACCCCATCACTCTTCGATGCTTGTGCACACACACACACACACACGAATGGACCAGTGGAATTGCCGTTTGGAACTCCCTCGACCCGAAAACTGCTCCAGTGGCTGGCTCAAGTTATCTGCTTGGGGATGCCCAAAATGAGCAAAACAAAACTTACTTTTGGCGTTGGGCGCGGATGGAGTTGTTGGGGAAGCCCCGCCTCATTTTCAGTTGTTAAGTACTTCTTGCGAGCAGGCAAATCGCAGAATTCAACACTATCTGCCCTTGGCAACAGCTGCCTACGAGCTCGAGACGCGGCATTCACTCAGAGTCGAAGCGCGAGAAACAACCGTGAATACCGTGAGACACAGCCTGAGCAGCGAACACTACTGCCATGACTACTACTGAAGTACTACTGTTGATGGACAGAATTATAGTACCATAAATCCCATGGTTTAGGTATATAAGGTCATGCAGGATTCTGTCCATCAACCGTAGGACTACTACGACTAGGACTCGAAGGCTGAAGCCTGGCCACTACCCCCAGCCTGGCCCTCAGTGTCAATATATGGCTGGTTGTCAAAATTATGGTCCCTTTTTGGGTCCTTATTATAATACGGCACCTAATATTTACACCCATATAATTCGGAAACCATGCGACAATCTAGATTCAGGACAGGGTTGCGCAGGAATCAAGCGGTGAAGGTCCCCTTGGATGAGGGACTGTCGCCAGCCGAGACTCGAAAGCTTGCTTAGTCTTGACAACTCCTGATATGCACAGATTATGATTCTCATGATGGCCTGAATCAAAAGTTGCAGCATGTCTGCTAAGTTCTAACGCACCCATTTCGTAATTTCGTAGTACTTCTGACCCTCCGTCACCGAATGTTCATCTCAGGCTTGTTGTTCTGAATATGCTATTGCTCCAGCTTTAGACTGAGCGTTAGCAAGCCAGCAGAGAAATAGACTTCTAAACCAAAGATGCTGCAACCTTCTGGAACGTAAGCCACATGTTCACGCTCCCAAGGCCTGTGCGACCAACTTGTTGCAGATGTGAATGGCGACAGCAGCACGCTCAGACCGTCCAGCACAATCTGGCAACTCCAGGCATAAATTGAGCACTCTTCAAAGGCAGAATAATCTGGCCCAGCCCGCCAAGCCGGGCATGGACTCTGGCCGTGCTAGCGCATGGGTCATGAGTCTGGCAAAGGCCTCGGTGCTCTAAACCAGGACTGCACCCGCCGGGTTAACATCCCTCTTGTGTGAGCGTGCATTGCCCCTTTCGCTGGCAATACTGCAAGGTTGAAACTCGACCAAGGATCTATAAAGTCTGCCATGTTAGAGATGCGAATCTTCTCCAACAGTATCTCCACAGTCTCATTGGCCTTACACGAAATTCACTCAGCAGCTTTGCTTGTCCAAGAGTCACTCGCAAGCCGCAAGCCTCGCCTCTTCTCGCGCCAGCGCAAGACTCTGCAACCGTCTAGCCAGAATTGCAGGAGGGTCCTGCTAATGTCCACAATTTGGACACTGTACCGCACAGTCTGTACAGTCTGCCAGCTTGACAGTCTGCCTGCCTTGTTCGTGAGGTAGTGGACCGCAATGCCGGTGGAAGCTGCATGCGCTGCAAGGCAGAGACCCAGCTGGGTTTTGCCTGTATATAGCTGCAGTGCCAGATAGCTAACTGACTCTGGTCGCGATCCGTTTTTGCAGCCGGCTGGGTGGACCAACTACCCTGGACATCTAGCGCACGCCGCATCGGCCGTTCCTGCGCCCGGAGCGCCGTAGATTTCAGCAATTTCTCCAGGCCAGAGGCCCCCTGACCGCCGAGATCAGCCACGGGAAACTGACACTGACTGACACTGAGTCACCGCTTGAATCTTGAAAAGCGGGGGCCTCCCAGAAGGCTGTCGGCCTGGTTTCCCAAGCCAGAGGGTCGAGGCAAAGCGAACACCTGGCTCGGCACGGTCACTTCAGCGGTCAATTCCACGGTGGCTTCGAGGCACCTCGTCAAGAGGCACAGCAACCTCGGCTTCAGTGCCTTCCTGCACAGCCCCATCTACATGGACAAAACGAGCGGTGCAGCGTGTTCTCTGATCCTCGAATACGCCCAGCAGAACATCGGCTGTGATCAGTCGCGGCTTCTCATCCTGCCGCACATCAAGCAGCCCAATCCAGGGGAGCCATGAATGGGAGTGCAGACTTACGGACAGCACCATCGGGCTGTCCTGCCATGCCTCGGCCAATATCTTGTCGCAGTACTCCCAGCTTTCCAAGTTTCCACGTCTCGCCATGCTCTGATGCTCGCAGGTGGAGCTTGAGGCTCCTGTCTTAGGACCTTCTTGCAGACAAGCAACTATGGTTCTTTTCAGGCACAGCCGCGCAAACAGCAAGTAGTAGCTGCACACAAACCTTACATTTGATATGCTCCTGCGTACTTGAATGCTTCCAGCTAGGGGACAGCTGTGAGCCGACAGCCACCAGAAACGGTTGCCGCTTGTCGATAGTTTGACCGCAGACCAGAACTTTATTAGTCGAGCTCTTGGCAGCCAAGAGCTGCGAGACTTCGGGTTGAGCTCAGATATCTTCGCCGCAAGGGCAATTTCTGGCGTGGAAGCCTGCTTCCTGTAGTGAAATGCCGTAGCTTGTCGTGGAGGGAGGTGTGTTGTCAGCGCTGGCAGCACCATTTCTCAAGTTCTCACCATCTAAATGAGTGAAGAGAAGCAGCAACTTGGTTTCGGAGTGCGCAGAATGTCCATCATGCGGCATCGTGCGTCTCAAGTCCTTTGGACACAGATTAGGGCCCATCAGGCCTGTCAAGCCTCTCAGGGAATTCGATGGCCCTACGTTCGATCATCAGCTTGTGCACTGCCCTGCAACCACACGGAACTCGCAAAGATAACTCTAACTCGACGAATCCCATCTTCAACACTATGCTGGGCTGCCCTCGTGGACAAGCGGCAGCATGGAAGTTCAAATGGCGTCGACCCTATGCACAGGCAGCTGCCCTTGTCGGAGATCAAGTATCGCAAGTATAGTATAGCGGGACACGACTAGACCTCAGAACTATCACATCATGTTGGATCAAAGGGCTCTCCTGACTCCTTCAGAGGCACTGCAGAACTTCAGCCTTCGGCTGCTCAAGGGCACACTGCTGGCGACACATAATTAGCATTCAATAGCGATCAATAGCATGTGACTCTGGCACTGCCTTCGAACGACATAATCGGTAATAGTATTCATACGTACCAATGTCCCTTGCGTAATGACACGCATGGCGCGAACATCTTCTCACTAGTTCTGGAGCTGCCTGGGCACTTGCAAGAATGCTTCGAATGATCTGGCGACGCTGCATGTAACAAGAATGCAATCGAAGGTGATGTCGCGCATCTTTCTCCACGGAAGTGACGCAGGCTTCGGAGAACCTTGCCACCAGTCCTGAGCCTGAGCAAGGCAAGGAGGAGCCAGCCGAGGCGTGAGCCCTCACAACACTCTGAAGCCGTGCACGCCCTGTCTGGTTCATTCCGAATACCTCTGGCCAGGGGCGTGGCAGGCTCTTCAGGGCGGCATCTGAAATCGAACATTAAAAAGTTGTCGCTACAGATCACATGCGTTGCATGGATGAAGGTCAATGCACCCACTAACAGCATTGTGGCCGATGTGGGAGGGGTCATTATCCGACTTGACCTGGTGCAATTCAGAAATGCACGAAGTCGTAATCCTCTTCCTGCACAGGGTCATTTCAAGGGCAGTGCAGAACCGTCGGCTTCGAGTGTCACCGCCTTCACGCCGCCGTCGTCGGTCGTCATGGCTGCACGTACTGAGGCATCGATCGAGTCCGGGAGCCTCGCTGCACATGACTGAACCTGTGTTCTCTTGCTTTGCTTCGGCTCAGTCTCAGGGCCGTGCCCTCTCAAGCGCCCCAGGATCATTGTGAACACCAGAAGGAGCTGTGAGGCTTCACCTGGATACTTCGCCAGTGCAAGGCGGAATGAAGAGCGCCCTTGTTCCGGTCAGAAGGCAAGGCTCAGGTTGGTTTATGGGAGAAGTATCACAAGATTGAGAGGGCAACCTGAACCCCACCTACATGTCACACGGCAAGTTTAGGCATGATGTGGCAGTATGTGAGGGTGCTGAGTATGGGATGGCAACAGCCCCCGACTCACTTCCACACTTCTGGGGCTGGGGCTCCAAACACCGCTAAAGGAGAACGTCTGATTCCTGACATTGGACTCGACATGACTCGACAGTAGTGCCCGCTGCACTCGCCAGCAGCGCTCGTATCCGAGGCTGAGCCCGCAGGTGCCATACGCCGAGAGCAACTCGAACAGAACCTGTGCCGTTTCCAGCTGACAGAAAAGCCCCCGTGCTAAGGCTTTGCGCGAGACCAAACACATCTCTGCGGGGAGCCTTGAAAAACCCAAAGTCTGTGTAGATGCCATCGCTGTCAGGCGATGGGTCTTTGGCTGCCCTGGCAACACAAAGTCTGATACACTGAATCAGAACAGGCAAGAAACAGTCGCTACTGGCATCATGTGAAATAGCACAGTACGCTTCGCCCTCACGCAATAGCATTGCTTCTGTCACACGGGCCTGGCGAAATTTCTCTGCTCGAAGCAACAGATCAGAAAGCATATTACCTGGGCCATGGGCTACTAGTTGCTGATGACCGGGCAGCTTGCTACGAAGAGTGGAGAACTCGGGCAGAGACCACGAGGTATGTAGCATCTTGGGTTAAGTATCTTCGTGCCTGGCAACAAACTGACTCAGGTAGTGGCTGATCCTTTCCTTTGCAAGCTGACGTGAACCAAGCCTGGCCCTTCAACGAGTTCTCAGATCCAGTCAAGACGGTCTCCTCAACACCTTCGACACGTCCGGTGATGTCAAGCTCATGCCTCGTACAGCGAACATGCTCGTCTGCCGTGTTGCAACAATCCCCTTTGTCAGGATTAGCCAAGTTGTTGCGTGCAAGCAATGCAACGGGGAGGGATGGGCTAGTACTGAATTTCGGAGATTGGCAGGCGGCATCGACCATTTTTGATGGCTGCGTCATGAGAACATTCGCAGACGATAGAATGCCAACCAACACACCTTCGAGGAGCCCGACATGAAAATAGTACATACAAGATACGTCGCCGCTGAGAGCCGCATTGTAACAACCTTTGTCTTCGAGTCGATCGCATGGATAAGCCAGAAGCACTCGGCATCATTTGTGTTCAGCAGACGAGGGCGAAGCCGTGGGCGTCGTGGAAAAGTACATCCTGGCATGGCTTCCCGGCATCGACTACCACTTGCCACTGTAGTGACACTGTCGTGTTAACCAAATGAGCAAGGAGCATCACAGCCATGAAGAAGGTTGTGCCCTGCGAGAGCCTTGGATCATAGGCACTGCAACAAGCTGAAACCGAAGCCTCGACCGTCCGAAGAGTTAGTGCAGCTCGGCCGCTGTGCGATGTTGATTGAATTCATTCCTGCACGTCATGAACACACGATTCTGTCTGTGCAACCGCTGCGGAACCCTTGCCCATATTTCTATCCCAGCTGCCTGCCGTGCGTGTCGAGACCGTCTGGAAACTGAGCACGAAAGGGCAAATGCAGACTCTTCTATGAGTCAACCTGATATTCACTACGGGATCTGCTACACCCTCCGGCAGTACCTGGAACCCGAGTACCCGTATGTTTGATGTATGTCGGTCCAATCACCCTACAAGGAACAACAACAATCGGCCATCCAGGAAAGGAGCTCTGATAGTGCGGAGACCAAGTCGAAAGAGTATTCGATGATCAAACAGCAGTCGAAACCGCCCAAATAGATCACAATGTTCGTCGTGGTTGACCCACCCTGTGAAATCAAGACATTGCATCTGACGAAGCTTCAGCAGACATACTTAACAAGCGGACCGATCATCTTGCTGTCGCTCAAAAAATACAACTTCGCTCCCGGAGCACGAGCTTAGATCGACCTGAGGTCGGAACAAGGCGTTGCCCAAGATTTCATGGGCATGCAGCCCATTGAAAGCCGGGCTGTGGAAGTCCTGAACATCTGCACTCAAGGCCGTCCCCTACTTTCTCACAACTGCAGGGTGACCGTGAGCTAGACTGGACATGTGCATACACTTACGGCACCTGGATCAAGATCACGATCGTCCCCAGAACGTTGAGGCCAACGACGACCAGCATCAGCCACATAGTGTGGACAGCCGGAAACATGTGCCTGGCTCGCTGCTCGCAGATCAATCCCACCTGCCTGCCCTCCAAACGCCAAGTCCAGGCCGGGAGAGCGTGAAGCACCGGCGCGGATGCTCCATCAGAAAATCCAGGACCTTTCTCGTCTCAGAGTGGGGCCTCACATGGACACGCGAAAATTGCGCCACGAATGAAGGAGTTTGCCCAGGGGCCGTGCCGCGTGCTGCGTCTCCAGATCGCCGCAATCAGCCGGACCTGGCTCTAGAGGCAGATTACGACATCAAAACAAGCCCATTAGCATATTGCAAGTAGAGACATGGCAAACTCCGTAGCATAGTCAGAGTTCGAACCCGAGAAATACGTCACTCTACAGCATCAAGCTGGACCCTCGTTGAAACCTTTCGATGTTGCACCGCAGGAGCCAGAGGACGCGGTGGACTCATGCTGCTGCTATCGGGTAATGGTCATAAAGTATACCGCAGTCCTTGCAAACCGTGCATGGAGCTTACTGCCTGCTTTCTATGCAACTGCTCATTTGAAGCTGGGGTGCAAGCTTAACCATCAACTCCGTACCTCGGAGTCCCAAAATTAGATCTCAAAACTTCGCAAGAAACGCAGGGCAACTCAGATGAATTGCTCAGCCCTCTCCAAGCACCGGTCTTCCTGTAGCAAGACGCTTCTGACCCCGCGGACTTGACAATTCGCACCCCCCGCTAGCACTTGCCGGAATGCCCTATTTGTAGCCGCAAGAATCCGCAAGATGTAAGGCAAGCCAAAAGGACATGGCGGCGACGCCATGATCGGGAGCCCTGTGTTTCCCAAGATGATCAGGGCCTGAGGTGCACGGAATGCAAAAGAGACGAGGAGTAGGTGAGTATGGTAAGTTAACTTAAGTGACCTCGCTTGACAACTTGCACCTGAAGATGTGACAATGAGTTGAAACTGAGATCGCTTCCCCGATGGTGGTGAGAAGGATTGGGCTCCTCACGAAATCCTCAGCAGCACCGCCAAGTTTTAAACTCAGGGAATCCTGTCTCGCTGCCCTTGTTACATCGACATGCAAGCAGAAGATACCAAACCGCCCGCCTATGGCACTCGCATAAAAACAACCCCGACATGATGGATGAGAGCGATCTGATTGTGACACGGGCCGCCACAACTATCTGCTTCCCTAGCGAGTTCCGGACCATGACTGACGATGGCGTCATGACCTCGCTGCCCAAGATTTCCCCTCCTACACTTCGACTTGCGAATACGTGTGTCAGAGACCAAGATGTCCTTGGAACAAATCTCGGAACCTGCGCCGGAGGCTTAAAGACGACAGGGATCCCGGCCAAGCCATTGTTCTGAAAGCTCGATACGGACAGATACAAGGCCTGGGATGTCGAACGCTGGGACTCACATTGTTTACAGCTGTGAGAAAAAAGAACAAAGTTGGTCGGGCTATCCACATGGTTCGCATGTTCGATGCAAGCGGCATGGTGCAAGGGGCGGAGCCCTT